AAGACATTGGAAAATGACGTTTCTATGGTGAAGGTTGTCATGTCGACAAGAGAAAGTTTCAAGCCATTTCGATTGTCGGCTAAAGTCTCGTGGTATTTATACAATGTTGTAGCACAAGCTCATCCCGGCCTATCAGGAACGAAGGGAATTGTCGTCGCCAGATTCATGATGAACCGACTTACGCGTGATTCGTACTGTATGGGATGGAAACTGTTCCTGGATCACATGCAGACACACTGGAGAAGAGCTGTGAGGGCGCCGCAAAGTTTATGCTTAATACGCGTACCATACGTGTTCAATGTAGACCAATGCGGGATCCGGTGCATCGAAATCAGGTCAATAACTACTGACTTCGATGCCGCCGAAATAGAAGGAATTGCCCTGGCCCTTCAATCGACAATCGGAGGTTCAGCACGTATGCATGTGGAGAACATCATGATTGGTTGTACTGTTCATTTTGACAGGGATGCAAGGCGACGAGCGGCCCGACTACCCGTGAATATCAGAGATGTGTTCTATAGAACGATGATGAAAATGCGCAACTGCAGAAGCGTTATGGAGGCAAACGAGGCTCTGGACTACGTCAGATCGCTGGACAGGTCTTGGGCAGATTGGGTACTAAAATACCCCTTCAAGACGTTGGCAATTACAGCGTTTTCAAATATGGCTGATCAAAATTTCCGCACTGGATTTCAGGACACAAACATCGTTGAGAGCCAAAATAGGAGAGGACATCACATCTGTGGCGTGCAGATTAATCCAGCCATTGCCGCCAAACGACTCGAAGATCTCGACAACATTTCAGTCGAGGAATCGCTTGGATTGGATAGCGGGGTTGGCGCGTACAATATCCTTCGCAAGCGACCGCGGTTTGACTCTTTAGTTGCCCCATCTGGATCGAAATCTCCGCAGAAAAAACAGAAGAGATCCAAGTTTCTCGGTAATATCCCAGGCAGTTTCGAAAGAAAAATTAAAGCCTCCGTATCTCGTTCAGACACGAAGCATAAAAGTCGGAACACAATGAAGGGAGACTTGTTGGAATGAAAATGATTCAGAAGAATGTAGCTGAGGCAATGAACGAAATTGTCGAAGAAGCTTCAGCTGTACAGATGGAAAAGCTTACCGATCTGACAATGAATGTTGAAAATGCGTTATCAGCATTTGATGCCCGAATTGAGATTTTGAGTTGCCTGAAGGAAGTAACACAGGATCTTCTCCTGCGTAAAGTTATCTCGACGTTGTTCTTGAAAATTAAAACGAGTGGCGACGATATCAAGAATGCTCAAGGCTTGGAAAAGAATGATTCTGCCGTAAACTGTATTGATGTTGATGCTTCTGATAGAGATCTCTGAGTAGGCACGAAAGTAAAATGGTATCGAGACTTATGTGTTGAAGCTATCTGTGCTATCTTATTGAGTCCCATATTTCTTCTGAAGATCACCCAGGGACCTACGGACTTTGAAAAAGCGTATAGTCCTGTTAAAAGACTGACTAAACTACCACTTCGAGTATGGAACGCCCTGTTTCATGGGTCCTATACTCATGAATTGAGTAAGCCACCTGTTTTCAGGGTCAATGTTTGCATTTGTCCTTTGCTGAGGTGGTTAATGTTAAGTGAGCAGCAGGCAAATGTTAACTTGTTTACGGAATATGTAGTGTCAACCTCATTTTGAATATTGAATACCTTTTCTTGGGGGTTTGAAACTCATTATGAGTTTCGAACCCCTTTTTTGGTATTCGAAACTCATAATGAGTTTCGAATACCTTTTTGTGGGGGTTCGAAACTCATAATGAGTTTTGGGTCCCTTTTCGGCCTTCCAAATCTCATAATGAGTTTTGGGTCCTTTTTGGAGTTTCAATACACATGAAGAGAGCACAGTATGTATGTCGCCACGATCAAGCGTCTTTGCCATAGAAAAACACTCACTATCTTGAAGTCGCATTAAGTATATTAAAGTTTGCAGGATGTTGCCTTCTCATTTGCGCTTTATTACTAAGTAATTTAATCTCATTAGCGCAGCGTAATTCGTGACAGCTTCACCAATGGTAGAGAACTGGACTTTACAGATCGAACTCATGAGAATTGTTAAAACTTCATCTATTTGTATGATTTACCAAGATTGTATCGATTTTTCACTACCGAAAACAGTCCAGTTTATGTCATCCAGAAGATCAAGTGCGGTACATAGGTAATATAGAGTGTCCATGCGCATGCAGCAGTGGAAATGGTATTCCCATATTGATTTGCCCAGTAGCGGGAACATGTTTACTAGAAAATTAGACGGGTGGTCAATGTTTACCCAGTGGCAAGTAAATGTTTACTTGTTGGTCGGGGGTCAATTTTTACCCCGTGGAAAGTAAATGTTTACTTGTTGACGGATATTTGGACTGGACAGGCGGAGTGCTGTGATAGGTTGCAATACTTTGAGTTTTTCAAGAAATTCAATGGCTTCTTTTAATTCAATGGCTTCTTTTGCCCCTACAGTAATTGAGTTTATTGAGAATTGTATTAAAATCACGGTGCATATCGCGTATGATAAAAAACTTTATTTACAACCAGGGAGAACCCGCATGAAGGCCAGCTGTTACAGCACAGAGTAAACTTTCCCCCCCGCGTTCTGACAAATCCGCCACCATCAAGAGGCGAGCAACAAACAGCCCTTACACCCTGGTTGCTTCCTTCCACTCTGGAGTTCTACGAGCGTTCATTCACGAGGCTGTAATACACCCTGGGTGCTTCCTTCCACGCTCGAGTTCTACGAGCGTTCATTCACGAAACAGCAAGCGCAAGTACTTCGTCTCATCCTACTCATCCACACAAACGTCCCCACTCATTCCGCTTTCGTTGACAACGCCGTAGACACGTTGACCGTTGACAAAGACAAGAGTGCCACGCGCTGAACGCGGCCATCAACCTTCGCATCCCTGTTTTCCGAGCGACCGGGGCCGTTTTCACGCAAAACACACTCCGCACCTCACCAACTTCTCTTTCTTTCTGTTCTGTCCTCGGAGTCTGGCTGTTTAGGAAGAATGCAGGAAAGCTTCCGGCAAGAGACGGGACCAAGCAGAAAACGGCGAAAGATACGGTCTCCCGATGTGTTCATAAGCCATGCTGGCCCGGACAAGCTACACATCGCACGTCTTCTTTCCCAGAAATTGGAAGATCAGGGTTTTACGGACCGGATACAATGAAGAAGGCTATGGAGTCTGCTATGGTCGGCGTTTTCATTCTTTCTCCCGAGTTTGCCGCTCGAAAATGGACTATGAGGGAGCTGCGCTGCTTCCTACGCCGACGGAGAGAAGCGATGGCGCGCGGGATGCTGCCACCGACATTGATTCCGGTGTTTTACAGACTAAGTATTCGGGAATGTAGAGAGTTGGAGCCCGACCGGTACCGGGATAAGGAAGGAAAGAATATTTTTGAAGTGGAGAAATTTTTTAGCGAGGAACGACAACGCGAGGCGAGCACGGATATGGTGAAGAGGGAGCTAAAAGAGCTGGCAGATATCACTGGGATTGAGAATGACGTAAGGGCAACTAACCTGCCGGGAGATAAATTCGGCCATCTTGCAAGGGAACATCTTGTTGAACAAGTATTTCTGGAGGTGAAAAAGCTAGGTGAGGAGGATTCGAGCGATGTTGTGACAGAAGGCGTACATGGCCCACTCGAGGAAGAGGCGAAGAGGAGCGACGCCATTGGCGATGCTCGTCATCAAATGCGTACTACATCCGCGGAGAAGGACCCGAAGAAGGATGGCTTCAAGGCTTCGTTTCAAGTGCCAAAGAACCCGGAACATGTCATACTGAAGTTTGGACGCAGTGAAGATGCTGGCAACAGTACGGAACGTATGACGGCTCCGGAAGAACGATTGAGGCGGAGTGTTTTGCGTCCGGGAGACCGTCAAAATGTTGGTGCTGTTGGAGCGCGCCGTGGAGGGGTTGTGGGGACGAAGGGGATGGGAGGCATCGGAAAGTCTTGCGCCCTACGCGGTCTGGCCTCGGATGAAGAAGTTCGCAGCCGGTTTTGCGACGGTATATACTGGCTGGTGCTCGGTCAAGACGCGACAAAACGAGGAGTAATGGAACAGCTGGCCCGCATCACGAGAGAAAGCGGAGGGGAAACGCAAGCGAAGGAGGTGCGTGAAGAAAGCGTGCTAGAATCTGCGGTTTCGAGGGTCACAGAGTGGTTCAAAGGGAAGACAATTTTGTTACTTGTCGACGATGTCTGGAGAGAAGGCATGGTCGGGAGAGAAGGCATAGCCGGAAGTAAAGTCATGTCAAGACTGAGAGAAATTGCGGATGTGGAGAACAGCAGCCGTACAGCGTTCACAGCGCGAGAGTGGGGCGTGGTGGAGGGAAGCGAAGAAATCCAATTTTCGACAAAAGAAGATGCTTCCTCTCTGGAAATCTTGCTGAAGTCTGCTGACATACAACGTGAAGAGGTTGAGGGCCTGGGGGATGAAACGGATAGGATACTGAGATTTTGCGGTGGGCTTCCGCTTGCGCTGTCCGTGGTTGGCAGAGCGATTGCGAGACATCGTGAGATTGCGAAAGAACTTTGTCTGAAAAATGTGCTTGATGAGTACTTGGAGTGTCTGGAAGATACATCGTCAATACTATTGGACGAAAGAGCGGATGGGACGTACCTATACGAGAACCTGTCAATGGCGTTTGAAGTTTCGCTGTGCATGATGGATCGAAAGAAGACCAGAGGAGATGGGCAGTTGATGTCCTACGCCGAGATGTACGAGGCGCTGGTGGTCATTCGGCGGCAAGGATGGTTGCCGTTGAGTGTGCTCTGTTTGTTATGGAGACGGAAAGGAAAAGCTCAGGCATTGAAAGTGCTGCACGAATTCGTGGAGGCAAGTCTAGTAGAACGAAAGGATGGAGTGTCAAGTGGTCGCAAGATCGCCGGAGTCAGGTTGCACGATTTGCAGCTCGATTACGTGCAACAGAGATGTGGGAATGGGGGAGAGAAGAGGTGGCATGAAAAGCTTGTGCAAGAATGGCAATGGAACGAGAGTGAGAACAGGCAAGAAGCGCCGCCGTGGGTTTGCGGGAGAGGGTGGAAGAAGGATATGGTGGAGGACGAGTATTTCCGACACAACTTGTGCCGCCATCTCAAGGGGGCGCAGCTGGGCGAGGATTTGTGGGATGTTTTGAGTGATGCCAGGTGGGTGGCAGAGAAGTTAACTCGGGCAGAGGGGCTAAATCTTCAAGAGGATTTCAAGATTTTGACGGACGTAGCCGGGGAAGACGGAGAACGGTGCGAAGCGGGAGGCAGGCTGTGGTCGTTGCAGAAGATTGCTAGACAGGCGAGGCTGAGTGCGTCCTTTGTTCGTCGAAGTTCGAGAGAGGTATGGTTTCAGCTGTACGATGGTCTGTTGAGATTTAGGAACGAGTCGGAAGTAATTGGAGAGTTCTTACGCAGGATAGAGGAACTTGCGGAGAAGCCGTGGTTGAAGTCGCTTACACCTGGCTTGAACGTATCAGGCGCGGTGCAACACATATTTCCGGACCAGTGGAACGTGGTGGGAATGTCGGGATGCGCAGCTAAGAACGAAGTGATCGCTTGGGGGGGAGTGAGGAGGCATCTGTTTCGTCGGACATTCCGGGACGGGGAAATGGAAGAAAACGTGTTGTTTAAAGTGGCACGGGGTGTGAGAAGGTTTTGGTCGGAGAACGGAAAGTACGTAGCGGTAGAACAGGCAGATAGAACAAGCTTGCAGGTGTGGGATATGCATACAGGAGCTACAGCAAAGCGAGTCGGACAGGAAGTGGATGTAGGGCACCTGGATGTAGAGAGTTACAGTCGCCCTTTTGACTTGACGGGGGATGGAAAGCGAGTAGCGTTTGGGAGAGAAGATGGTGTGGTTGTGTTGTGGGATGTTGAGAGAGGTGTGAAGATCAAGGAGGCAGCGAATATGCGGGGCCATTTTGTCCAGAAAGTATCGTTTTCACCGGGCGGGAAACGGTTGGCGTGCACGGGAGAATGCGGCTCAAACGGGTCAATTTTGATACTGTGTGCAGAGACAGGGGAGATGGTTCGGGTGATTGGCGTGCCGAGTATTCGACTAACCTATTGGACCAAGTCGTGGATTTCGTGGTCGAAGAATGGAAAGCGGGTCGCGTGCGTGTTCAAGATGGAACGTAGAAAAATTGAAGAAACAGTATCTGAAGCAAGATTGTGGATCTTTGACGGGGAAACTGGTAGGAGTATCGCGGAAAGCGCGCCTTTGGAATACGTTCGCTGTCTTTCATGGTCGGAGGACGGGACGCTGTTGTACTGTGGCGAG